ACTAAAACTGGTTGGTCACCTGGATCATCCTCGCGATAATACCCTTGCATGACTATCGTCAATGCAATGGGTCAGTTTGTCTTTGTGGACGTTCGATTGATGATCATCTACTTATAGAAATTGGTAATGAACAGAAACTTAATTTTACATCGTGGAAAACTTTTCTATTGATTCATTACAAAAAGCAATGTATACTTACCTTACCTTCCGAAGGATGGTTGAAATACTCAATAGTGATGTAGTCAAGGATGCACTGAACCTTCTATGATTTCGATTTCTAGGGTTTCTTGATTTTGTATTATGAGAAAAAGCAAGCTGATTTCTTAGTGAGTGAGGGAGCGTTGCAAGTAAATGAAATGAATAATAGTTTATTTAAAATGTCTTCGGTTTACTAGATGGGTTATTCAAACAATATGTTATTTCGAAAGTATGCTCTTTGGCTCCCCAAATTAATATTCTCCGAAAAATAGATGGGTTCTAAAGACCTTAAGGGAAGCTATCTGGTTTTTTGATAATTACATTATTGATAGGGCCTCAATTCACTCATACAAAACAGTGCGTGTACAGTGGATGGCTTTATAATATCAATGTCCCTCAAGAGAGCACCTATGATGTAGAATTGAATAGGATTCTGACCAATTGGGATTCTGTGAAAAGTATCTTCAAAGTTATTGAGTAATGGCACATGAGCGATAATGGAGGCACTTGTCATGGTTATAGTGATATAGTCATTATAGCATCAGGATATCTAAAAATTGTCATTGAGATTTTGGTTACAGCAACACAAGCAGAACTTAATGATCATTTTCACGACACTTGAGTATGCGAAGATGCTATCAGCAGGAGAAACTTGGATTGTTCATTTTACTCGTGAACGTGATGTCGTTTTAAATTATGTTGGCCATCTGAGGAACAGCAAAAAAATAATCTTAGTGTTGTGCACTTCTGGCATGATCAAAAGTTTAAAAATGTGTGGATGAGTAGCCAATCGTATAATCCAATAGGTGACATTTGTCAAATTATAAATCAACAAGTTATTGAAGAAATGTTAAATTTATATAAGGTGAAGGAGGGTATTCTGGCGCGGGAGGTAATGTGGCGCACTGGAGTTTTTTTAAAATATCTCGAGATACACTGAACAAAATCGAAAAATTTTAGTACCATTCGATTCGTCTTACTGAGACGAATCAAATAATATAAAATTTTTTTGGATTCTAATTGCTAAAACACAAGATATAAGTAAAAGTCGATATTTCTTATGATTGTATTAAGTTTCTTTTAATACAATACAAAACATATAGTGATATAGTGCGCATAATACCCCAAATGTAAAAAACATAGCATTTTTTGAGTAGATCATATTTCAACCTTTTTTTTAAAAAAGTCGATTATTTTTTATAATTAGTTAGTAAATCGATAGTTGTTTTATTTCGCTAAATTTTAAAAATAAATATTAATTTGTAAAAATTTAATTGGCAACGCAGCTTAGGTGCGCCAGAATACCCTACTTCACCTTATGTTAATTGTATGTAGCGATAATAGTACAAGTTGTTTTTGTAATGTCGCAAATTATAGAAGTTATGTAAATTGTAATTAAGTAATGGTACAATTGATAAATTTCAACGATTAACGTTAAGCAGTGTTTGACAATCGTATGACTCATATGACTTATATGAATTGTCATATCAATGATATGTACGTACGTACGTATATAATAATATGACATATGAATTACGTATATGATTCTCATGCAAACATATCATATGACATTATGAGCGATTTTTTTTTTTACATCTCACGCAATGAATTCTTCCAAGAAAAAAATAAATGGTGACAATACTACAACTAGTCATAAAAAAACTTCAAAGTTAACGAACAAAGGTGATTTAAATCCATCTATTAAATCAGTAAACGATAGAGATATTAAAATAAAAGATGAAATCGATGAAATATTTTCAAAGGCGAGAAATAAAGTAATTATTCCTACAACTTCATCTACTTCTTTAACGGAGGTTTTGACATCATCAACCGTCATTGATTCTTCAACAAAAGAAAAAGAAAAATCTTTAAATGATAAAGAATTTGAATTCAAAGTTCCAGCTATACCAGATAAGTCGAAAAAAAGAAAATTGCAAGAAAATGATTTAAAAATCATTCCTTCATCTTTAAGTGCCTCTTCGGCAACAAACACACCTTCGACGGAAGAATTTGTATTCAAAGTTCCAGCTATACCCGATAAATCAAAAAATAAAAAACTACGAGAAAACGATACTGATGGATTTAGCGACTCGAGGGGCACAAAGAGCCGTATGTACTTATTGCCACCATATTAATAGTAACTATTACTAAAATATGATATACTATCAATACAAAAGGAAAGACAACGGAAGATGGATTTGTTATCTATGATATTAAGGAGCTAAATCTTGGTAATGGTGGAGGTATGATATCCATTTAAGTCCATGATACGGATTATTTATAAATTATCTTTTATTTCACATATTTCATACTTCCAAATGTCAACCTTTTTTTTTGAATTTATAGATACGCCGTTATGTCCGATTGATTGCGATTGTTGTGAGTATCAGTCATCAAGCATATGACATTACTTTGTGTTTAATACTATTTAAAAATAGAACGGGAAACATTAATATTTAAATATAGGTTTCTGATATAGTCATATTTCACGGTTTATTCGACATAACAGTAACAATACTTTTTTTATTTATTAAGTAAAATTTAAAAATAGTATTACATGAATAATGCTATTATCTAAAGTTAAAATGTCTGTGTATCATAAATTCTTTAATACGACTTAAGCAGAGTATAATGCGTCCAAAAATCCACTAGCGATATCATTAACAATACTTTTATCAGGTAGAGTAGCTGCCAATCCATAAATAGCTGCACTGTCACTAGTCGATCTTTCTGGGTTAAATTTATTTAATTTAATCTCATTGACACACTCTCTCAAATCCCTTACAAATTGATCAGCGTTTGGTACTGTTAACATCGTACATGCAATATGAACCGCTGGTGGATTTTGTAGTGCATTAAGATTCCATCCTTTTTTCGACATTTTATCATTTATATCATAAATGTTGAGAGTTTTTGAACCAAATGCTACTACTGATACTAGCGGTTTGCCACATACAAACAAATCGTCTATTTTACGGATGCTGAAAAAAGTGATGTTGCCAATTTAGTAAATCTATTAGGGTTGTCAATCACACAGAAAATATATTGAAATATATACCCCTCTTCAATCTTTTTTGCACATCCTACTATTTTCCTTGTTGATTCGATATATCCGTTTTTACCCATCCTCATCATAGCTGTCCAACACGAAGCAAGGAGTGCACCAGGTCTATATATAGTCAGAAAAACAAGAAATGATGTAAACACTAATGAAATAAGAATGCAACTAGATTATGAAATATGATAAAATATGGTACCGTGAACCCGCCATTGAAGGTGAAGCATAAATTCCGCCCGTCCAGTCAGGTGCAAAGAAATATTGATATCTACGCAAAGCTTTCGTACGATACATAATTACTGATGAACCTTTTGGTGCAAATCCATACTATTAAATTTAATAACAGAATACAAACAAAATAAATAAAATGAAGGTTCATTTACGCTACAAATTATGTGCATTTATAGAATATTGGCTTCATACCTTATGTGTATCGCATGAAATTGAAGTAACACCTTTTATTCTGAAATCAAAAGGTTGGGCAGGAAATCCTGCTTCCTCTAAAAATGGTACTAAGAAACTACCCAAACAACAATCAACGTGCATTCCAATTTTGTATTTATCTGCAATTCCTGCTAAAGTAGGAATATCATCAATAATACCGTGAGGATAGTTTGGGGCGGATCCTGCAATCTATAATTATGTTAAATTTATTATTAAACTTGTAATTATTATTCTTTATTCCTACCATGATTGTGTTTTTGTTAATTGCTCTGTTCACAGCCTTAGTATCAACCCTAAATGTGACTGGGTCAATTGGAACATGAATAATTTTGATGTTTAAATAACCTGAAGCTTTATCAAAGGCTGCGTGAATGGTATCCGGTACAATCCTAATATTTAATCATTTATACTAAGTAATCACAATAAAGTAATTTTATGAAATATATAATCATCAAAAAAACATACATTTCCGGTTCTGTTATTCCTTTTTCGCATCTCGCCCAGTCTCGATAAGCTTTGCATGCCATAAGTATACTTTCAGTACCACCAGAAGTAGTAGTGCCGCCTGCCTCATCTTTTGGGCCATTATATAAATTTAATACCATAGAAACAATTTCCGCATCCATCTTACGTACTCCAGGGAATACATCAGGATGCAATGGGTTGCTTGCAGAAAATATGGTATATGCTTCAGATGTAAGTTTCGAAAGTTCTCGGTTTCCATAATAAACAGTGCCAGACACACGACCTTCTTCCCAATTTATACTTCCCATGTCTCGATATCTGTAATATAAAGAAATTTTGTTGATCTGTATTGATTTAAAAATTACCATTAAAATGAAACACAACAAAGTAAACATGTATGAATTAGAATAGAATAAAATTGCTTATCTTAGAAGAACATACCTTTTTAATTCCTCCCTAAGCCGTTGATCGTCAAATCCAAAATCGGGTAGGGAAAGATAACGTTGTAATCCTTTTTTTGGTGCAATTTTTTCTTCAATATCCTTAATTGTTTTATTTATATCGGATTGAATCATTTGTTTTGTAACCGGAGCATTCATAATGATCTTCAAGATAGTGCCACCAATAACTTTATAAAAGTCACCAAGGGTACGGCGAACACCTTGAACTGCAAGCTTGTTTAAAAGAATTCTTCCATAACGATATACTACTAAAATGAATATAAAATTTTTAATATGTATTAATCGCGGAGAATTAATGGATCCTAGGGCAGTTTTTAAGAATGAGAGCTTTGAAGAAACAGCTTGGGTGGACATTATAAATAAAATACTGTATTTCCAAAGAATGTGGTCAACGTCTGAATCAGAAAAAGGGAGGGAAGATAAAATAATATCGATATTTATAATGCAGTAATGATGAACATTGCACATTTTAAACTTGTGAAATGATGTAATGCATCTTTTTGGGTATGATCACATTATTTGTGTATTTTTTTTTATCGTTATACACTATTTATTTTATTATTATTTTTTTTGTTATCTGGTGTATACCATAGAGATTACAGTCCTCTATAAGTGCACAACCTCTCTAAATGTACACTCAAATTCGAGTTCAAATATATGCATGACTTCTATAAATGTATTTTATTGTTTTCTAAGTAAGGATGTTATGTGGTCCGATCTTAGACTAATAGACCGCGGTTAGTCTTAAGCCGGTCTAAACTCGAAAAAAATTAGTCTGCTCTAAGTCTTAAGACCGGATCAGCCTGGGCTGGTCTGGATTAACAAAGTCTTAAGAATGAAGATCATAATAGACCAGACCAGACCTGGACCAAAATAGACCAAACTGGACTAGACCGGACTGTTAACATCCCTATTTCTAAGTGCACATTGTTATAGCTTGGATCCAATAATGCTTGTTCAAATTCCTAAATCGTTAGTATATATGTTGTGCATCGGAATTATTGTGAATTTAGGACTCTGCCAGGAGCAGTGTATAAAATCTATGTGCACAATGTGCTCAGTGCACTTTTTTTAAAAAAATTTCACACGTTTTTGGGTAGAAATGTGCACGTAATTCACAAACTTTTGGACCAAATAGTGCACCATAATCATTAGTAAATACTAAAGGTATGCACATAGAGCACATTGTGCACATATACACAGTGTTGTCATGTCCAAATGTTTTGACTGGACATTGTACGTCCAAAACATTGAATTGGACGTCCAATCCAAAGGTGGACATTGATTGGACGTCCAATCCAAAGGTGGACGTTTGGATTGGACGTTCAATCCAAAGGTATCCAAATGTCCAATTTTGTCCAATTTACATCACTGCATATACATATTTAAATTTATCTATATAAATTTAATAAATTTAAATTATATAACAAAATCATATCGTGCACAAAATTTTAAACTATACTGTGCACAAGATTCACATACTTTTGGGTTCTGATTTTATACACTGGCCAGGAGTCTAGACACTCACTTTTGCAGTAACGTGATGTGGCTATACATGGGTGTCTAAATTACTTCTCTTAATAAAAAATTATTTCGACATTTAGTCTGTCGAAATTAATTTAATTAGTGGCGAAATTAATTTTCATGGTATTAATTTTCATGGTTGTCGAAATTTTTAGTGAAATTATTTGAATTCTATATGACAAAATACATTAGATAGTACAGCTACTTTGTGAAATTTATATTAAAAACTAGCAATAACAAAATGTTTGTCGAAATTACCTTTTTTAAAAAATAATTTAGACACCCATGTATAGATGTGGCACATTCGGATAAGCTTTTTTGGCTAGACCTTGAAAGATCATCCCTATATGTAAAATTACGTTTCCGACATTTTTTGTTAGTGACAAAAGGCCGATTTAAACACTAGTTTTTGAGTATTTTCG